CGTATACAGTGTGCATATGAACGTGTGTGCGTGTGTTTGTATGGTTCAAAAAGTGAAATGCAGGAGTAGTAACAGAATGAGAAAAAAGCAGGAAAGAGAAAGATGCTTCCGGTGTATTGTTGTAGTTTGTAAGACCAAGTTAAGAGCTTGACTAAGCCTATTGAGCTCAATTAACCCTGCACTGGCCCGTGAGAAAGCGCCTATTGTGAATGTTCGTGCAGCAGTGTTATTTCCTCACGAAGAATGGTAATCCTTGGCCAGAGCTCTTTCCACTGGTCACTGCCCTACTTGCAATGAGTAGTCAGGCAATAGCAGTCATTATTAAAAGAGATATATATCTCTGGGTTAAGACAGGTCAGGTAGGTGTAGTCATAAGAAACTAGCTGGCTTATTGTGATGGATAATGAAGTTCTTGCTTGTGAAATATACATTTCTTTCATCGTTTTTACTGAATTATTTTTTATTCTAAAAAAGTTAGATTGTTAATTCTGATTTGTCGATTGAGTACGTAAGAATGAATGAATTGGTTTTAAATGTTGAGTTTGCAAAGGAAATGTTTTTGAATAAGTTATCGATTGCAGTTAATCGATTACTTATTTAGTGAATCAATGTCGGAAGGTCACACATTAATATTTCTGGAGGTGAATGATTGTATTAAGTTAAGCAGCTAGGTGACCTATCGACCTTTACTTTTCGCATACTATTTTCTACCTCAGTTCACATGCAACATATCTTCTTCAAGCCTTCTATTATTGCTGCTTAAGTATGGAAGGGAATTGAACGCTTCTTTGCACTCATTTGCAGTAATTGCCTTGGAAAGAAAAGCGAACGCCGTTCTCGAACTTGTCGCGTCTCATTCACCCATTACCACGACTTTTTTGAATCTTCCCTTGAAGGCAGTGCCTTCAGATTCTGCTTTCATAGCAACAGAATCAATTTACTTCCATGCCCAACAACAATATACTGCTATCATTCATAGCAGTATTTTTTTCGATCTCATTTGAGGAATTATTGCTGTACTCACTCATATTGCATTCATTCCTATCAGCCGGCTTTTTCGTGCTCTTAAATTTGCACTCAATTCATCTATCGATGGGTAATGACGTAATAAGAAGCTAAAATTACAGAAGATAAAAAATGACACTTCAAAGTTTTACAAAGTTAGAAATCCAAATTACATGCTACTGTGTACTGTATGCTAATTTATGATATTATTTTCAAGCTAGAAGAAATTGATAACAAATTATAAACATAGCGATTGGGTTCTGCTAACTTTGTCACTGCTTCTAATTATCTGTCAATTGAACTCACTCGCTGAACATTTCATTTCAAATTCTAATGGAATTTGTGTAATTAAAAAGAATGAAAAGTTTGCTTTAGAAGAATAAAAAATGGATACTTTGTTGCATTCCTACTTGCTTTTTCATCCAAAGTAATCATTCATTCCTTTTAATTATCCATTTTTTGTATATTTTGTATATTTAAAAAATAACTGCTCATATCTGACTGCTTTTCGACATTTGCATGTTTGTTTACGATAGCTGCAAAGTAATCTGTTTGCTTATTCGTTTTGTGTTTCTCTCCAATTATTCAAATTAAATTTTCATGGCAGCAAATAATTTATTCGCTTTTTCATTCATTTCACTAATTAAAACTTTTTAGAGCACTAAAACAATTTTTTCGCAATTCGCAAATTACGCTTTCGCACTGTATGTTTTGTATGAGTTTGCTTAACTGTGCACATTTATACGCACTTCTTGCCATATTATTATGATGCTATTTTTTAGTATTTTGTTTCATTTCCAGTTTTATCATTTTTCATATTTTAATAATTATTTTTTCTCATATTTTCTGTTAATTTTATGCACAACAAAATAACTCATTTTCACTCTTATTAACTCAATTTTTTTCAAACATTTTCTTCATAAATTGCGCAAATGCTCATTCTGTTATCTTCCTTCGTCTTCCCTTCTCTTCACAATTTCCAAACTGAAAGCAACTGAAGTTTTTTTTGCTCCACATCGTATGCAATTATTCACATTGAACTTCATAACCTCTGACATGATTTCTCATTTCAGCTTTTGATATTTCTGCAAAAAATGATTATTTCATGTTATTTTAGCCGTTGCATATTTGACAGACTTATATAATCTCTAGTTTTGAATTTATTCCATAAATTTTATAATTATTTAAAGGGCTACAAAAATTTGAAAATATCAAATTTGATTTAATCTTACATTTATTTCCAGAATATATGTCTGTGAAATTATATCAATAAAAGATTCAGGAAATAATACTAATTGGTTCTCATGCAAAGTCTTCGAGTTTATTTCTTTTGCAAATGGCAATTTGTTCAAATGGCTGCGAATTTGCCTGTTTTGCCACCATTCAATTTAATGTAAAATGCATTTGCACGACTGTTCCTCCACCGTTCTAAATGCAAGAATATAATTTGATTGTTGCAGAATTCTGCAAAGAATCTGACAATTTTTAGTTTGAATATGACCAAAATTCAATACTTATGCTAGAATTGAGCACATGAAAGAAAGGCTACTGAAAGCTAAAAATTCCTAAGCAATTAATTATGTCTCAGCGACATCAAAGTTATTTTGCTTTCAAAAGAATTAAACAATTACATTTTTCAAATTCTTTGTAATAACAGTACTTGCTTCTTTTGTACTGAGTGCTGCTGTGTCGCCTCATACTACAGTATTCATACATGTACAGTATTGAGGGAAAAATTTGGCATGTCAGTTGCTTTTTTTGGCACTACATTTGACCTCCTTGGCCCATTTCTACTTCTGTTGTCCATATTTTGCATTACTCTTTCTCATAAACCAAATTGTTTAGCTCCTTTTTCGCAGTATATTACAAAGAATTTGAATATTTTTCAAATTGTTTGTCTTTTCTTTCCAATTTTTCACTATCATTTTTTCCAGCAGAAAGCAAAGTGTGTTGAAAGTAATGAAAAAGTAGGGAAAATGGAAAATTTGCTTTAAATGTATGAAAAAGCATTACTACAGCCAACTTATTCCTCCATAATTTAGAGGCATCTCATAAAGGATCGAAATAAGTAATTATTAACAATCTAAAGTATACTCAGTCTGCTTTCGAGAAAGATTTAGATATAACTAAGTAGTATAATATCAATATTATTCAGACTCCTTCACTGTTCACTTCATAATTACATTATAGAGTATATTTTCACTCTTGCAGTGGTCACTTTGTTTTGATGCAGATTTTTGATGGGGTCCATGAATTATACTAGTTGTTCAAGACTTGGCACTAATTTAATCAAAGATGTTGATTTTTTCGCTACATTTGCTCAGTCTTGCACATATATGGCTGCCATTGAGCTGGTAATCTAATTGAAGCAATCTAATTCAGTCATGTTAAATAATAAAATTTAATTTAAAACAAGTTTTCAAAATGAATATGTCACTCTTAATTCCACTGAGAGCATTTATAATAAATTTTACTGAAATTCAATATTAGAAGAAAGTTTGTGAAAAAAAACTATTATCATTATTATTATTATTATCATCATGGTTATTATTACTATTATTTCAAATATAGTATATTATGGTTACTGTCAATATTGTTACCATAATCTAAAGTGCAGTATTCAGTGTAGAGAGCAATTTACAGTATATAAAGTACTGAAATTCAATTGCACATATCACAGAAGTGGAAAAGTAAGCAAAAATTCATTGCTTGAGTGATTTGATCTAAATCTGATTTCCGATTTTGATTATTAGTTGTAGTCGAAAATGATACAGTTATTTGATAAAAATGGAGATGGCTCTTGTGCTGATTATATTAAAGCATTCTAGCTCTGATTCATTGCATAATCGATGACTTAAGGAGCCGAACGATATTCAATTCGGTGATATAACAAGGAAATGGTATCAAAGTTTGCAGTTCAGA